AACTACTATTTCATACTACGTGCTCTCAACCATGAAACGATAAGTTTACGCTTTCAACAACGAGCTCAGAATCGATAACGTCAAGCCATTTTTAGATGTGTCAATATTATGAACATCGGAGTATATTATTTTTAAATCCGGATTATGGGAGAATTTAAATTATTCAGTGACTTTTGTATGTGACTTGCTAGCTCTTAAATTTAGAAGACGATTCAAATTAATCAGGCTTTGTTGCATTGGTAATATATCAGCAGATTTAAAGGTCTCTGTTTAGACTTAGCTTTGACGCCGAAGTAAAGGCTGTTGGCTACATGCGTCCGGAGGAAGACCCTGGATTTATTCAGAAGGAAAATGTGGCTTTTCGCACAGCGGCAGGCAAAGTTTTAACGATCAGCGAGCAAGCGTTGGAATTTGCCGAGAAAAGGTTCCAACAGGAGAAGAACTTCGATAGAATCACCGAAGGACGTTTTGATTTTGTGGAGGAAGAAATACCTGAGTTACCCGTTGACCTTGCGGCGGAATTCGACGGAGTCGAGGATTACATACCCTGCGCGATTCCGTGCGATTCATTCGCTCTCGAGCTTGAGTTAGAGGAAGGGGAAAACGAAGCATCAGCGAAGAATCGTCCTTCGACCTCTTCGACGGCGCAGATGTCCAGAGTTCCATTGCAGGAGCTGCACTTCAAGTTCTACAATACGCAGCAGGATCAGGAAGAAGACTCATATGTTTGTGAGGGCGACTTTTCCGATTCTTCATTCCTCCAAAGTGAAGCAAAGGATTCGTCGTTTGGAAGTGATTCAGCTTCAGCCGCGAATTTTGTTGCGAGTTGGGCGTTATGTTCTCCAAATAATACTTCTCCTTTTCAGTCACCACGTGGGTTATCAGGCTCTCCCTATTCGCGTACAATTTGTTTGAGCGTGACTCCAAAATTTATCAGCAACAGATCACTAATGATAGGGTCGCCTCAGAAAACTCCGCTCCCGTCAAAAGAGCATGTTAACGAAATTCATCCATCTCCTGGTACGTCTCTCAGTTTCAAAACGGCTCGAAAGGGAATCGCTATGAAGCTCGCTTCACTTCAAAAGCCTGACAACCCAATCAGTGCAGGGGGTAGTACTCTTGACGATTCATTTACATTTCCTCTACACGAAACTGAAACCGATAACCAGTTGTCTGCCATGGAATGTGATGCTGTTGCATTGTTAGGTCACCAAGCAGATGACCAGGGTTTCCAAGAGGAATCTTTTAGCCTTCCTGCAGCAGACGGTAAAGAAATACGTGGAAAGCAAGAATCTGCTGAAAAGGTTATGCAAAGCATGAACAACAGTGAAATTAGCGTTGTAAGCCATGATGAGGAAGCGGCTCAAAATTTGCCCGTCAGCTTCAAAACGACCAAAGGAAGGT